AAATGAATTTTATTAAAATGATCGAGTTTTACAGCAAGTTTGAAGAAATAAAATTGAGGAAAAATATGAAGTGAATTATTTATTAGTAAAATATAATTCAGAACATGTTTAAATTATGGAAATTCTCCAACATTGATTGGGATATGCAATGGAAACTTATATTTTGGTAATAGAAAAAAATATTTAACAAACTAAATCAATCTAACTTTGAATCTAATTGCTAATATAGGTTAGATTTTTTTTTTTGAGGGGAGGGGCAAGTTTAAAAATGCGTTTTACCCATTTACAAAAATGAAACTATATTGCACAGTCCAGTTAATATTGGAGGATTTACTTAATGATCTATCGTTAAGCTCAAAGTAATCAGCTCATTAAAAATAGTAGGCCTTAATAAAGCTCTTGGGGACTGGGAGGCAAGCAGATTTAATTCAAGGTTTTGAGGGTAGCTCGAATTCCTTGGATCAAAACCCCTTTCCCCAGCATAAAGGCACTACCTCACGGCCTTCACAGAAAGTGGGTATACTATGGTGAGTTTTGTACTACTGTGCTGCGATCAGATGAACTGTTGTGATTTTCATAAACCCGAACTTGATAATATCCATCTACAACTTCAATGTAATTTTAGTATATTTTTTTCAACATAGTTCTTAACACAAGTTTTTTTTTATGAATCTGACCATGAAGCAGCATGATAGTTTCTTGGTGTGACCCACAGCAAGTCGTGCCATCTGCAGCACGGAGCAAGACCAGTGAAGATAGTACGAGCCAGCTACCAGTATGCGTATGATGAGACTAACACAGAGTACCTCGACTGTGTCAACTCCATGTCACATGGTAAGTCAGTCCCTGTCTATTGTAACTGTAGTACATGCTTATGTGGCAGTGCTCACCATGTACTCTCTAGATTTGAAAGAGCTTGGTCTCCAATCTAAAAGTTATCTTGGAGCGAAGTTTCCGCTCAGGAATAGTATATCACACCTACTTAAGTGTCATTCACTATCAAATGTGAGTAAATATACTGATAAGGTCATTGTTTTTATTATGTAAATTCCCCATTATCGAGTTGTGTAAGGAAGACAATTTTGGGCATACAAAGTTTTTTTTTTATTCCCCCCCCCCCAAAAAAAAAGTAACCCAACGAATTAGTCTCTAGATTAAGTTGAATTAGGTTAAGCTTATCTTTAGTCTCTTGCAATCAATAGTTTAACAAACCAACCAACTAATCACCATTTTGCGGATTAAAGTATTTATATTGCTAATATACAGATGAATTACAGCAATGACCCACTGGGTGGTTAATGGGGTTTAAAGTCTATCGACTACCCTAAGGACTTTGCATAACCTATTCAGCACCAAACAAGAATACTTTTAAAGTGTCTCGGAATACATTAGCTTTGAATTCAGCCATTATTATATTTTCCAGTTGGACACTGTCATCCGGCTGTGGTTGAGGCAACGTCACTCGCGATGGTCACAGAAGTCGCTAGCAGCGGATGGGAGATTGATTTAGGTGAACCCGAGTACCCAAAAGATCTTCGTCAAATTCTGCCAGACCACTTAGATACATTCCTTTTCTGTAATTCAGGGTGAGTAAATGCAATATTATTGCTGTTATTAGAGTATTATTTATATAATTCACAAAAGTGTTAAGCCAAGAGGTAAATGTATAATTAGTCATAATACCGACAATAGTTATGATACCCGTATAGTTTAATAAATGCGTCATTAAGTTGGATGTGTCCAGTAACCTAGGTAAATATATGATGATAATATTGCTCCATAGATAAACAAGAATTTAAGCAACACACTGCTCATGCAGCAACTTACACCCAAAACAATTAAATATAAATAAGGCGAATGGGGTAGATAATATATGGAATTCAGTTTGTTACTAATTTTGAACTGTAGACCGTATTGTTCAGAGGTAGTAAAATAGATTTAATATGCAACTCAGCTCTGGTTAAGAACATTACAGAGGTACATAAGGAGTCGAGGAACTGAGTCCCAACCTTATTAACTATGCATATTTTAGTAGCTATGTTATTAACTATGCATATTTTAGTAGCTATGTTATTAACTATGCATATTTTAGTAGCTATGACCTATTTGCAGAAACTATCTATTTAAAGTAATGGATTCGTTACACAACGAATTGTCACACAACCATTACAGTGAAGCATATGTAATAGATGCATTTTGTTCTAAGGGACTAGCCGAGTTGCTAAAGATAATTTATTTATCTTATTTATTTATTTTAAATGCAAGAAACGGGGATAACCTTAATTAAATTCGCCCTCACCCTCCATGAAGGAAAACGGTGAACTAAAGTTATGCAAATTTTGTACGTTTCGGTTTCTCATTTTGTAACAATATTAGCCGAGAACCTACCGTAACGCAAATAAAAGCAACTTAAAATATTGCGCAATTTACCTCGCCTATCTAAGAATTTACATATAGCAGTTTTCCTTATGGAAGGTTGGCGAATTTTCAGACGATTCCACAAAGGTTTTACTTAAAAAGTGGAACCTCGGTTGTCGAACAAATCGGTTTATGAACCGATTTGTTCGATTTCGTTGTCGTGCATGGTCTTGGTTGTTGACCGACAGCGCTCGGATAACGTGATCACAGTCAACAGCGTGGGTCTCATTCAGTATAGCGACTAACTCGCTTGCTCTTGAACTTTTGCTGTGCATCTTGTGAAGGTAATGAAACCAAAAGTACGAAATTTGATGGAAAACTTACGGAATTACACTCTCGCGAAGTTAGCGATCTCGGCGATATTTAAGCATCGGCGATTTCACCACTTTTAACTTTATTTTGGGTCAATTCTATTGTTCCAGTCGACCAAACTCGTAGCTATTTCGCTAGAACCTTTTATTCTATCCGATTGAGTACAGTAAACCGCCCATTTACCTATTTCAGCTACCCAATAAAGTGATCTGAAATTACTAATTTGGCCAATTTCACACAAAATTCAATAAAGGCCAGTTTCAAAATGGTCCAATGCAGCATTCCTGGTACTAAAATAACATTTTATCTGCTCATTAGTTACGCCTCCAGGCCTCTTATATTACGCTTGCTTTTCATTTTGATTCTTTTATACAGAAAAATAATTTACTATTATTCAGACTACTGCATAATTGTAATAATTATGTAAATAATATCAGTGCGTTCGTGAATACATATTAGATCCATCAGTTGACGTGTATTAGACGCTTGACATGATTTGTTTACTCTTGAACATCGGCAAAAATCGCTAATATGAGCTCAATTTCAAACTACTTTGTCTTTAAGCCATTGAAAATCATCTCTATTTCTGTAAAATATCTTCCATTCTATCAAATGAAATCAACAAAATGAGAATACAACCATAAATACTATACGAAAATACACCGCAAAGTCGTTGTTTTAAACCAAAATCACGGTCGCGGTTTTTTTTTCTCATGCACTGCGTGCTGCAGGATTTTTTTTTTATACCATGCAGACCCATTCCTACATGTAGGCCTACCAGCTATCTTCCGCAAGATTTGAAGCAACGAGAATTTTTGCCATTAGCTCTTCTCTGACACGTAAGAGGCAATTAAATTCTCATTTACTCTACAGTATTTTAGTTAAATTTTCACTTAGTATTCATTTTTACAGTTTCCGTGTGCTGTTTAATTGTATACATTGTTTTGTGTAGTAGTTAGTACAGTATCATAAATAAATTAGTCATTTTTGATCTGGAATGGGTTAATTCTATTTACATTATTTTTTATGGGAAAAATTGGTTTACTTGTCGATCATTGTGGTTGTCGAACTGACATCTGGAACGAATTAAGTTCGACAATTGAGGTTCCACTGTATGCGTCCTTTAAGAAAAATTTAAGTTAGTGTTCTATAGATTTGCCTTATTTTAAGCTGGGGTTAACAAGGTACATTTCGGGGTTTGCCTCTTTGATAAATACTGATATAGCCTCGTGTCTCCGACTTTAGGGACGTAGGACGTGAGAGGAGGGGAAGGGAAATTGGCAGCTGCCAGGGAAAGAAGGGATTGAGAGTGGTCGGTGACCTCTAGAGATAGAGGAATCTGAGGGCAAAACAGGCGTTGCATCAAGGCACGGTAAGGAAGAATGGGAGTGCAAGCATTTCTGGCACTTTCGTGACTGTGGAAGGAGTCAGTTTCATGGAATCTGTCCGAAACTTTACCACGAGTTTGTGAGGTAGTAACTTTTTTTTTCTTTGGAAGTTGCAACGTAGGTGCCGAAGTAGCAACTGAAAAGTGCTAGAAGTTGGCAAAGGTGACAGCTGGTGAAGAGGTAAGAATGTTGGAGGTGAGAACATCATAAGGGTTGAACTCTGGAATACTTGCGGTAGAAGCCATTGGCTGCTGAAGTTATCTGGCGACTCTGGAAGGGAAGGGCATGTTGAATTATCAGTTTTGACATAACTAGGTCACAGTTTGGTTATGTAACAAACCCTCTTTGCCCTTCAAATATCGTATCTCGCCTTTTCGCACGAAAGCGGAACACCGAGAATGAGGTATGTTCACCACCGTTAAATGAGAAGGTTGGTATCAAGTTGGATTATTGTCTGCTTAGCACGCTGGACATTACTTTTGCACGCAACATTATTGTGGTATTGGTTTGTATTTTGCCCAGCATATTCGACATTGTTAGGGCATTGGTTTGTATTTTGTCACTTTTAAGCATTAACCTGCAATGCTGAATAAAGAATGGGGGAACAGTAAGTGACGGCAGTTAAAGCCAAACTTGGCAATATTGCTTGTAAAGCATCTCTCTCCGTGAGCAAGACAAACATATGTTGGGAGTATAGTTCAAATTGCACCATCGTATCTTGAGTGTATTCTCTGAAGTCTTGCTGTATTACTGAGTGTCGGAGGATAATTCCGCAGTTTGAATTGAGAAATGTATTGTGATAGCAGTGTCCTGATACTGTGGACCAGTGACATTTTGACGGCCTGCTCAACATCATTTACATTAATACTGAGCATCCAGTTCTTCAGAGTATTGAATATGAAATGTCTTGGCTGACGAAGGTAATGAGTGTTTTGTCGATATTATAGTCATTAAGGTACCCCTAAAGATTTGTCTGGAGAGTGAAGTTTCTTCATTGTCATTTTTCAAGACGTCTTGCAGAGGATAAGTTTCCAGGTAGTTTCTTAGTGTGAACCAGGTATAGATTCAGCATTGCCACTAGTTTGTTGAAGTGTTTTGGCAGAAGGCCTCGAGTCATTTTCTTTTGGTATGATCCGTGAATCGTAGTTGTATAGTGAGGAAGCAGTTTTCATAGTCAACATAGTCCAAAGGTACCGAGAAGGGTAAGTCAACACCAGTACAGGGATTCAGCCAACAAGTGGTTGCGTGAAAGCAGTTGATGGCTGATAGTCCATGGTCGTGCTGGGGAAGGGGGAGCCTGCAGAATACGGTTCTCTCGTTACTCTTAAAGTATATAAAAAAGGGGGAGTCGGCTCAGAGAATAAACAAAAAGAAACCACGTATCCACCCTGAGCCATAGTCACCTCTGCGAGAGGTAGTGCTGTTGTTTCCTGGAAACTGCCTATTACACCTACCTGGTGCACAACCCCTGAATGGTGCTTCTAGTATTGACTGAGCAAGGTTTAGCAAAATTGCCTGTTTAAACAAGAGCAAGAACTGTACAATTATGTTTCACCTAATAATCAGGGCGAACAGGAAAGAGTCATGAGTCGTAAAATTTAATTTGCCACCCCTGGATGAGCAGACATCCTCAGGTAGTACTTCCGCAGTCAAAGATCCTGGTAGATAGCAGCCTAATGTCTCGCTGAAGGGTCACCTGACATGCCCTAAAAGGACCCAATTTTCATTAGGTGCAGTGACACAACCACCACACAAGTCCTATGGTTTACTTTTTCTTCTTTCTAGGATCTGTTTTTCAGAGGAAAATATCTTCCCCCACTAATGAAATTAAGAGAATAGGGGAGGTTTGGGAGTAATAGTTGATTTGAGGAAAAGGTAAATGGTCAAATTCCTTAGATCAAGAACCCTTTTGCCACGATATGGAAATCCCCTTGTAATACTGCTCAGGTGCAAAACTTAATTTTTTTTAATATGCAAGTTAACTGTTGGGAAGGGAACGAATATTCTACTATCATTGATGGTATATATATTCTTGCCTTGCATTTTCACATTCTCAGGTCCGAGGCAGTTGATCTTGCTTTACAACTATCACGACTGTACACGTGTGGGACAGCTGTTATAGTAGTGGACAACGCTTTCCATGGGGCGCTTGATTCTGTCCACCAACTGTCTCCTAAAATCTACAAATCTAATAATATATGTAAGTTTTTTTTCTCTTCTCTGAGAGAGCAAACTTTTAAGTTTCTATTTTACATGTAAATAACATATGTAATTAAAGCTTCAATTAGTTTCAGATCATTGATGTTAAATTTATCAAAAAGAAAAAGGGTTTAAGAAACTATGCACCGAGGGACATGACCTTTTAGTGTACGTATGTGTATATAAAACGAGATATATATACACACACACACACACACACACACACACACACACACACACCTGTGCTTGAATTATTTTGATTATATATATAATATATATAAATATATATATATATATATATATATTATATATATATATATATATATATATATATATATATATATATTCTTTCAACAAACCGGCCGTATCCCACCGAGGCAGGGTGGCCCAAAAAAGAAAATAAAAAGTTTCTCTTTTCATATTTAGTAGTTTATACAGGAGAAAGGGTTACTATTCCCTTGCTCCCGGCACTTTAGTTGCCTCTTACAACACGCATGGCTTACGGAGGAAGAATTCTGTTCCACTTCCCCATAGAGATAAGAGGAAATAAACAAGATTAAGAACTAGAAAAAAATAGAAGAAAACCCAGAGGGGTGTGTATATATATGCTTGTACATGTATGTGTAGTGTGACCTAAGCAGAAGTAGCAAGATGTACCTGAAATCTTGCATGTGTATGAGACAAAAAAAAGACACCAGCAATCCTACCATGGTGTAAAACAATTACAGGCTTCCGTTTTACACTCGCTTGGCAGGACGATAGTACCTCCCTGGGCGGTTGCTGTCTACCAACCTTATATATATATATGCAATAAGATCACAGTAAACAGGTGACTTCAGAATATGCAAAACAACCACTGTGAAAGAATAGAGAAGTTCCAAGCGCTTTCGTGACTACTCACATTATTAAGGAACAATGAAAGTAAAGCATCAAAGGAAGGTATATAAAGGGGTAGCCCACACCTCACTATCAGATCCCACAACAACGAAACACCTGACGCGAGACAGCAGGCCCGCTGGCCGAACTAGACAGGTCCTTCATACAGCCCACCAACAAACTATTCTACCCAAGAAATAAGAAATTTAAAAAATTATTTGTCCAATGTAGCACTTGGAACTTCTCTATTCTTTCACAGTGGTTGTTTTGCATAAATATATACAATGTGTGTGTGTGTGTGTGTGTGTGTGTGTGTGTGTGTGTGTGTGTGTGAAATCATCTCAGTCAGTCAACAAGTGATAAATGAAGTGAGATCAAAACTACCAGGAGCAGCAGTCATTGCCCCCACAAATAATGTCTTGCTAGGAGCACCTCGGGGAAGCAATGCCATTGACACAATTCTCAGGAAGAAATTGGAAGAGTTAAGGAGAATGGAACAACGAATAGGCAATCTTGACACCAACGATGCCTTGTACCTTCTCACAAAGTGCTTGAGTCTGCCCAGGTTGACATATTTCCTAAGATGTGCACCTTCATATGATAACCCTATACTGCACGAATATGGCAGTATCCTGAGGCTGATTTTTACGAAAGTACTTAACCTTACTCTAGAAGACGGGCAGTGGAACCAAGCTACACTTCCAGTCAGACTAGGAGGCATTGGTGTCTGCAAGTCATCACAGATTGCGCTACCTGCTTTTCTGTCCTCATATGTATTGCATCAG